ACTAACAGAGAGAACAAACTAACTGACTAATCAAGAGAACAAAAGACACTAACCACCAGCAAGGGATGTGGAGAAAGGGAAACACTCATTCACTGCTGGCGGGAATGAAAATTCATGCAACCACTATGGAAAGCAGTCTGAGCAACTTTTGAAAACTAAGAATGAACCTACCATATGATCTGGTTATACTACTCCTTGGCATAAACACAAAAAACTCATCCTATTGTGGAGACACTTGTACATCCATGTTTGTTGCTGCTCTTTTCACAATACCTAAGAGATGGAAGCAACCTACCTGTTCCTCAACCGATTACTGGATAATGAAAATGTGGGACATTTACAAAAAGGAGGTCTACTCAGCAGTAGAGAAAGATGAAATCATGAAATTTGCATCCATCATGAAATGGATTGAACTAGAAACTGTTATACTAAGTGAAGTAATACAGACTCAGATAAACAAAGGACATATATTCTCCTTCATATGTGAACCCTAGCACCAAATCCTTATAAGTTAGTATATACCCAGGTATAACTACAGGAACCAGTATATTGAAAAGTAACCAGGGAGGTAAAGGAAAAGACAGAACCTGAGAGAGAAGAACGGTAGGAAACAGGTGTTACTAAGGGAGATATGGATTAAAATGGAGTTATTTAAGTCATGGGGGGAGGAAAGGGTTGTACAATGAATCCTGGTGATAAAGGGAAATAATGGTAATGTATTTAAAAGAAAAAAACTGAATATACTGACTCATCTATTATAGGCACTCAGAAGTGGCACATGAGATAAAATATGGTGTGTAAAATTATCTCAGTGGTAGACTTAAAAAATATACATATAAGAAGGTGGGCATGGTGGCACAGACCTTTAATCCCAGCACTCTGGAGGCAGAGGCAATCAGATTTCTATGAGTTCAAGGCCAGGCTGGTCAACAGGTTTACACAGTGAGTTCCAGGCCACTTTGGGCTACAGAGAAACCCTGTATCAAAAAGAAGAAAGAAAAATAAAAATACAAAAAAACCCTATAGTCATTCCGAAACTCCTTACAGTAACAACACAGGAAATAGTGTGGAGTCACCCACTTTCCCTAATCATACTGAATGGCTGAATGGCAGAAACAGACAGGCAGATCAACTATTGAATTGGGAGAGTCATGCAGGACATTTACAGTGTTCTGTGCCTTCCTTGTGGGTTTTTTTTTTCTGGTCTTTTTGAGACGGGGTCTCTGTAGCGCCAACTGGCTTGGAACCATAAACATGGGTAAACCAGGCTGTCCTCTCTTTCACATA